CTTCTGCAGGTGAAGTCACAGCCATAGTAATAGGAGTGATGTGTGGCTGTGTAGGTCTGGCAGTAATCATTCGCTTCATAGTGAAGACGATACGGTAAGAAGCCGTTGTGTTGCTCAGTCACATCAGTGGCCTGTTTCCCGGCAGATACCGGCCTGATTTAACTGGGTAATCTTCAGAAACTATGGGAGCTATCGCAGTGGATGTATTCGGTCTCTTCTCATTCTCCATCTTCTATCTCTTGGCAGATTTTTTACAGTCCTCCACCGTGAAACAGTCGTGGTAAACAGGTGGTTTACCTGATCTCAGTACTGACAAGGATGCACAACTAGCACTCACAGTGTTGTTTTTGTGACTTCTTCTTCTTGTACTTGACAGATATCCTTAAGCGCAGATCTTTGATTAATACCACGATAAACAAACATAATATAGCATTTTTAATTCTTATTGAAATACCCTTTTATGGAATAAGAACCCTGTGTACCCACAGTTGTGTTTGTTGACTGCAAGAACATTTGAGATATAAATTAGAGTGTAATAAATTGGCATGGCCGATGTTACTGAATGATTTTGTCTTATGACAGAAACATTGGTATTGGCCTCGAAACAGTGTTGGTTGGGCTCCAATGGAAATGACAGTAAATGTATAATGCTCTTTGCAAGGTTTCACCACACGTTTCAAGCAACCTTAAGATCAGCGCTGAGGATAATCTGATTGTCTGACCTCTTCTGCAATAACATGGCTGTTTCCCAATACTCTTACTGTTTTCTCTCATAATTACCAGTGATTAATGAAAGTATGTGGTGGGTCCCCATGTCCACCCAAGTCAGTATAACCTTTTCATTGCCAGATCAAGGGTTCCCAAAAAGCAACATTATGCAAGTATTTTATCTTAAAATAACAACTTCAAAATCATTTTGATGCTACACTGACACTTTCATTCTCATGTGGTACCCTGAACGCCTGTTTGAGCCCCAAGCACTCGGGGCGTGTTGGTGTTTACACCTTTAGCACAGGAGCTTTGGACCACCAGGAGGAGGAGGAGGAGGAGGAGGAGGAGTTTTGAACCAATGCTTGCATAATGTTGCTTTAAGGACAGAACTATAAGTTTCATTGTTGGATGTGTGAGACCTCTGATTCCTGCAATCTCTCTATGTTCAGTCTTTAACTGAGATCACAGTGAGATTATGATACTCCTGATTTTTCTGGGCATCCCCTGGATGCTTGTCAGGGAGCCTTCAGGGGGCCCCAACATCCCACTTTGGGAACCACTGGCTTTCATAATGCCAATCAGCTGTGGGAAATTACTTAAAATGTCACCTCCAATCCTTCTATCTAATGTTAAATCCAATATTTTCTCTCTGTTTTTGGTCATGTGATTCTGTCTTTTGATCTGCGACAGCTCTACCTCTAGCTGGGACGTCCTACCCAGTAACCGGCCTGCTCCCATGCAAAGGTCACCGTTCAAAACTTCGACTTCTAGGAGTTAGATTCCTGACTACATCTTTTTGCTTTAACCACCCATTCATAGTGACTTATCCTTTTGGACTAGACCTTAACACCTCTCTAAGAGTATTAGTGCTTAAAGAAATTCCATAGACTGAGGAAAATAGTACATTATATATGTATATATTTAAATTAAAAACTTTCAGTGAATTCCCAGTGTTTAGAAATTCTTTAACATCAGTCTATCCTGAGAAAAGTCCTAATCCATAATCCTTTAATCTTGAGGTTTTCTTTGTTTTGCTGGCTATCGATGCAGTGCATATACAGTACAGTATAACCCCCGATGTTCACTGGATGCAGACGTGAGACGTTCTGGCTCCGTCGCAGCTGAAACATGAAAAATGACGGAAAAACAACTCAAAACTATATTCTGGAAAAGTTGCTGCTTGAGAACAGATGCTCTACTTTTTTAAATGCCTCCAGTGGACATTTAAACTGCACTGGAGACGTGATGCAGCCACATCCACATTAACACATTTATTCCCTCTTGTACTTATTCATCCATTTGTTTAACATATAAAATGTCTCAGTCTCGGTGGGCTAAAACACTTTAACATCTTTTAATCATCTTTTGGTGGTAACTGAACAACACTCAGGGCACAGTTCCTGTTATTTTACACTAGAGCCCTAAACATATGCACAACCGTCCATGTACTCTTTAACAAACAAGGACCTCTGCTGGATAACATCACAAACTACACCGACAGCATTCTCGCAGCATATGGGATGACTCAGTGGGAATGACTTTTCCCTTTGATGTTTCAGGATGAAGCAGCCAGAGAAAGCAAAAGAGAAAAAACAAGACATGGCTCTGAAATCGACGTCTGAAGGAGAAAAGAAAGAAGAACCCTCACCGTCTCCTCAAAGTGAGCCCTAGCTGACACTTGCAAACACATATTCAGTGATGTTGGCAGTCTTGGTATCAGACATTTTTTTAAATTTTATTTTGCACGTGACGCACTTGGTTTAAATATGTCAGTTTGCTGGCTCTGAGTCGTATGTTTGCTCTCGCAATGCTTGGGAAGCACAATTGGTTCATGTAAATACTTTGTAAAAAAATATGTTTTGTTCTTTTCTTGTTCCACATTTGGCTGTCATTTCATCTTGTTCATCCTGCCTTGAAACACAAGCACACTGCACTGTATTAAATATAATAGACTTGTGAATTGTTTACCTGTGAATTCAAACTCAGTGTAATACCATTATTTTCTTTTGCCCCAGGACTTTAGCATTGACACTTGGAGTTGGACAGTTTGGTATTAAGGTCCTATTAAATGAATTAAAGATCTATGATGTATGAACTGATGCTGTCCAAACATTATGGCTCTGAACTTAAAGTAGCACATTGTGTTGTAAATGGATGAGTTATATTTATATACCTATGTTCATTCTATTAGAAGAAAATGTATTTGGTGCCATATATCATCTTTGTCTGATTGATTTTTTTGCTGTATATAACTCGTCAACAGGGGCACCTCATTAAAATACTTGAATGGAAACCTCTTGTGTTTGTGTATGCCTCAATATCTGGGTCACGTTACATCACCCTCAAAACATCTGGGTGCATCTTCTTCAGGTGAAGAGACAAAAATAAGTAGCTTGAATTTTGAAAGAACCCCAAAGAATGAATCAAGGTGAAGGAGACAATAAACCATTAAACGTAGTAGATTTGGCAAATATTTGTCCAGTAGATCCAGTTAAGATCTGAAAACAATGTAGTAAACTCTGGATAATCATTTTAAAGATTTAAAGTGTCTGATAGAATTTAACCTTCAATATGCAACTCAAGGCATAACCTAATTAAATTCACTATACAGACTGTGGGGACATTAAACAAAGCCTTTGATGTGTCCCAGAATCGTGATTGGCTTATCAAAATTAAAATAAACTGGGCAAATCTTTAATTTACCAGTTTGAGAAATACTAAATTAGGGCATGTCATTAATTGCATTTTGAAAGAAAAATCAGGCCAGCAGGAGGAAGAGAACAATTATGTATAATTAACGTCTTACTCATATATATATATATATATATATTTCTCAGTTTCATGTGCGTTAACAATACTTTTTAATGTATCTACAAAGGGATAAGACTCATGGTTATTGTGATGTATTGAGGACTGATGATTGTTCTTGCACAGAATGAAGAGATGGAGTTGGACAGACAGAGTAATCAGAAATGAGACATAAAAATGAGGAAGCTCTCTGGCTATATTTTACTCATGAAAGCACGTTCTGTCTCAGATTTTTTTTAAACATAGATGCCTAAAGCACTACAGCTTATAATTCAATTAAACTTAATTTGCATCTATTTGCATTAAACATCATGTTAATGTTTGCTTAATATGAAATGGGAGACATGTTTCTTTCGTATTTACTCAGATTAAGCTGAACCAGTCAAATGTTTCTGACCAGTTTATATTTGAATTCAATGTCAAACAGTTGTAAGTATTCTAATACTAGAGACGTACAGAAGTGATATAAAAAGATGTAAGTCTAACTGGAAATTACCAAGGTTTTGATCTCTCTATTTAGATATATTTAGCATATACAATACAAAAGCAATATAAAATATTTCTATTTATAATGTACAACTCACAATTATTGTATATTTAGTAAATGCAGTGGAAACATCAAGCCTGTAGGTATAAATTCCAATAAAACATGAATGAAAACATCAATTGAAACACAATATTGTTGTCTGCTGAACAACTGGACCATTTTCTATCAGGATTAGACTTTTCCACGTTTCTTAGCTCATTAATACCCATCTGTAATAGTGACACATATCCCATAATCATTAAAGCACTGTTGATCAAAGCATATATTAAAGTTACCATTTGAAAAAGACAGCAGTGCACACACACACACACACACACACACACACACACACACAGTGAGCATCCAAAAAAAAAAAAAAGCTCAGTGGACTTTAACATGTATTTATAGCTGTAAATGGATCACGTCTCACCATGACTGCTGCTCTAAAGCACAACCATGTGGACAGATTTAATACACACACACAAACACATATGCAGTTTAGGCCACTCCTGCTCACACTCACAGGAAGTGAAATGGAGAAACGCAACTGAAGAACAGAACTTTGGAGCTTTAGGTCACTTATAGCTCACAGAGGCTTTCACTGCTGCCAAAACAAGGTAAGGAACTTCTCTCATCAAACAGATGTTTTCTACGTCCTCTTCTGGTTTTAAGTAATAAAAAAAAAGACAGTCAGACAGCTGTGGCTTTGTCTAACTCAGCTCTTGTGTGCACACAGTGTTTACTTTATCACGGGCCATGTCACTTATTTGGTAAAACAGAAAAAGACTGTAAAGTGTTGTTCAAACTTTTGTAGTCTTTGTTTCACTCTAGGACTGCTGGGTAATGGCTGCTTTTAGGGCTTTTCTCACTCTTTCCGTCTGCCTCCTGCTGGGTCATCAAACGTTTGCTAAAAACGACGCTCCCTGCCAGCGCTCCAAATGGAACAACGGCTACAACACCTTTGTCAAACGCCACATTCGCTCTGGGACTCCAACTTCTCTCAACCAGAACGAATGGGAGAAGTACATCAAGAATAACGGGGGCTGTGACAGACCCACGCAGTCCTTCCTCCACCCAAAAGACCTGGAGAGGGTGAAGGATGTGTGCACATACAAAGGGGGAACAAGGTACAAGGAGAACCTGTGCATCAGCCGGGAGTCCTTCACTTTTGTCACGGTGAGGAGTGAACAGGGGACATGTGGCATCAAGAGCGTCCGAGAGGAGAACAAACATCTGATCTTGGCCTGCGATGAGCTGGACAATCAGTGCCTGCCAGTCCATTTTGAGGGAAACCCTGAGAATTTAAAGCCAAACAACAACGCCAAAGGCTGCCAGGACCCACAAACTATAGATCATGCTCCCAGCTTTAAAATGCCATGGCTCTGGTTGTTATCTGCTCTTCTTGTTATTATTTGTGGCAATTTTTTTTTTTTCACTTGAGAAACTTCATAAGACAATGAAGCTTTTATGAGAGGACATTCTCAACTGAACACATTTCAGCAAAACCTTTTAATGTCTTGAAATTTAATTTGGAAAGATCAACAATGTATTTTCTGGAACAATTCACTTTTTTTAATGTATTTTTGAAACAAAAGTTTCTACTGTTATATGCTTGTGCCAGTGTATGTGCCAGTGTTGTATGTATTTTACATTAAATGGGCACAAATACAATTACCAAAGATAAATTCAATCCAATAAAAAGATTCATCTGCACTAATTTCTACACCCGTTTCTTTTCAGTGCATCAAATGTGATACAGATCAATGTAAAAACTTAATTCTGATCACAAAGCAAAAATATGTACAGATACAATAATAATAGACAAACAAGACTGCAAAGATATCAAGACAAAACTCTCAAAATGCCACCTATAATCAATATAAGTTGTACTAAATGTGTGTACTTCCGTGGATCTTTGTACAAATGTTTGCTCTGTATTGTAGATGTTTTTACTGTCACACATACACAATGTACATAACAGCTCCACCAAAACCACTTCTTTATCAGGGCGTCAGTACTGAGAGACAATGACTCAAATTCACAAACAGTGAGTCATTTCATCCAAATAGACATAGAGGAACACTGTTTCAGGTTTTCTATAGCACATGTACCATATGCACACTAGCAAGAGCACGAAACCAAAAAAAGAAGAAACAGACACAGCCGTGCTTTACAGCACCAAAACCAACATCTGGAAAGAGCTAACTTTGATCTATAACTGCGACACTCAAAGGTCAATGTACAACAACAATGTAACTGTAAAGATTAAAAGATTCAATGACATAAGTTATAAGAAACTTATAATTTTGAGAAATTCAAGTCATTATTTTTCTTTGCTTAGCTTATTAGACCATCAGACCATATCACACACAATTAATTAACTTCAAAATGCTGTCCTCACATACTGAGACTGTCAACACACAGATGGTGAAGTAATGACAAATTTGTTGTCAGCCAAAAGAAATAAAAGGGTTGGATTAACCTGCTGGGCACTGGCTGGCAAAAATGAGCAATGGGCCCCGGTTGACCCCTAATTTCTCCCCTTCTGTGTACATTTTAGTGTTTAGTGACAGGTAAGTAGGGCATGCAAAAGCAGAATTTTAAGAGCTCCCTCTGCTGGACCACAAAGGAAACTACTACTAGTTGCGCCTATAGACTAAACATTATACACGTCATTACAGTTTGAATATTTCATTTTTTTCTCGTGTTCAAACAACATTTTGAATTAAAATTGACCACCCTATGCAATATTAACAAACTCATTTTCACAAATGACCACACATTGAACCAGAAGCCTTTGGCTCTCCTGACGGTCTGCAGCTCCCAGGGCAGTTAAACGCTTTGCCTGGACTCACAAACCAGAGTCTAAATGTTTCGCTCAGTAGGGACTGAGGACTTTCCTCTAGTTTCATTGCTAAAACTGGGTAGATACAGTTTAAATAAAGCCTGCAATGCAGAACTAATCCAAAGTGTTTAGGGCGGTGACATGTGGAAGTCGTGTGATTGTAAACACTGTTGTACCATATAATGATGAAGTGATAAGGTAAGGCGTGTCCCTGAAGTAAGGGCGTATATTTGTCAGCATTTGTCCGCTCTTGCTGCTGTTCAAGCAACTTCTTTGCATTTAGAAATCCCCAGAAAATTGGTAGGCGCTCAGAACTGTGATCATCTGGTATCTATTGGCAGAAATTTTATATTATAGTGTGAAAATAAGAATCGTGTTTTTATTCACACTGGTCATTTAAATCCTTAAAAAGTTCTGGAACAACGGGAGACCTGTTCTCTGAAAAAATGGTTCTCACGGAGGCAGAAACACACACATACACAGTTTTCCAACAGTTTTCTGGACTAACTTGTGTGTCTTCTGACTGCACCTATGCCTCCGGGGATTTGAGTGGGTCTCTGTGTGCAGTAACGGAAAGCAGTTAGCACCAAACAGAAATAAACACTAATAACAATAGTTTGATTAGTTACAGTAGGTCACCTTAGCTGCACATGCCCAGACATCTCCGAAACAACCGAGCCAAAAAGTTCCAGGTCTGAGTCAGGAGACGTGACAGTGCCGCTTTTTCACCACTAGATGGCAGAAGAGTTACTTAAAACTTACTGATGGAGTCCGAGGACCACATTGAAGCCTGAGCAACCTGGACTTTGACGACACCTGTCCATCTGTCCAATAACTTTTTTTGTATTTTGCACTTGATCTGCAGACATTTCATTACTGTAGTTTGATTCTTTATGAACACTGCTTTTTCTGAGTCACCTAACCTGCCTTGCTTACAAAGCTGATTATACACCCAGTTCCCAGTGGAAAAAACACCACATATTGCGAAACTAAACTAGCAAAATGTTAGTCTCACTCAAGAATAAGATGAGAGATGAAACTTTAGTACCCGAAGCCACCAACAAGCTCTTATTTTTGCTGCAGGTTTCTAGAGTGCAGCTGGAGCACAACAGCGTGATAAAGGCCACATGTTTAAAATTTCACAGACAAAATGTTTGTTAAATTCTTTTTGTTGCACAGTGACATTCCAGGCATCAACTGGTAGTAGTGTTTTTATGATCCCTTTGTAAAGAAATGCAGCCCTGGTCTTGTAAAACTCTCCATTCTGCCACAATGCATCATTTTACTTTCCTTTTCTCTGCAGTTTGCCCCTGTAATCTTCTGCCTCGTGATTCTGTTGCAGAGACAAGAAATACATGTTTCTTTTTATTCATAATTCAGCTTCCCAATTTTATTTTATCCTTTCATTTTCTCAAACGCTGCTGGCAAAGTCATCGGATCATGAAGAAATCACAGGACGCACCTAAACCTTTCTGCCCAGAGGCACCAGGGAATGATGCTAAGTTGTTGAGTGCTATCCAAGACAATTAGAAAAACAATAAAAGACATAAATATGTCACCATTTTTTTCAGGTAATTCTGGAAACTTTAGGGACCCACACTGGTCACATACAGTAACAGTGACCAGAGGTTGACCTCCAGTGAAGTATTTAACTATAGCCATTCCTATTCCATGACATCATTGTAGGGTCTCACACACACAGACACACACAGTCACGTTGTACAAAAGCACACGTTCGGACACATAAGCATCAACACATTCACATGCGCAAACTCAAGAACACTGTCTGCTGAACGCACACATGCTGACACTCACACAATCACGGCTGAGGAAAAAGCAAAGGCGCACAACAATCGTTGACTCGGGTCAAAGAGGAAAGGCTACGGGAGAATAAAAGAATGAGTGCAGAGTGAGAGAGGGTGGAGGGGCAGAGCAGTAGGATGCAAGAAGGAGGAGTAACATGATAAAAAAAGGGGCTGCACTTTTATTGAACTTTTTTTGGTGGTTTTTCAGAAAAACAAAACACATGGACATAAAATAAGGTGAAAAGCAGTGTAAGTATGGGAACCAGCGCTTGTTTTTCTTCTCAGCTTTCCCTCCATTCCACCTCTTCTCCCCGTCCCCTTTGGCTCACTGTACTTCACACAACCTCCATCACGAACATCTCTATCTATTTGACTTCCTCTCTCTTTACGTATTTAACCTCCCTTTTCTCCTTTTCTTCTTCTTCTTCGTCTTCTTCCTTCTTCTCCAATTCTTCCCCTCATTTTTACTCCCATCTTCCTGTTGAGCGTAAAGCAATTCAGCATCATTCAGCCTGTACAATGCTGTTTTACAGTGCCGTTGTCACGTCGCACCTCAGAGGGGCCCATGGGCTCGTTAAACTGTAGGTGGCGGCCACAGAGTGGATAAAAGTGCGAAAACAGTAGGGAGGTTTGGAGGAGACGGACACATGAATGGGACCAAAAACAACTAAACAACAGCCATTTAAAAAAAAATTTGTTTTGATTTAAGTCCTTTCTCCCCTCCTTAATCTAACTCTCTTCTCGCTCTCCCCTCTGTCAGACCAACCATAACACAATGAGCCGCGATATTAGAACGCACAAAGACGCTGGACACCGAGGAAGGGAGATTTTAGGAGTTGGGCGCCCGAGGGACGGGGTGGGGTGGGTGGGGGCAGGGATGGTGAGTAGGGGCCGGCCCAAAGGCATCTGGAGGTTTAGTCTCATTGTTTACACAGAAGGAGAACTCCAGCTTTGACTTCATGTACGACACACACACACAAACCACAACACCACACACACACACACACACACAAACACGAAGAGAGAGTTCAACTCCCTGATGTAGTCTGATGCTTAAAATAAACAATTCCCTGGGTAAACCGAGATGAATGATGTGTGTGGGAGGATATTAAAGTGATGATTTGCATCTGACTCTTTTCGGTTTTGATCCTGTAAGAAAATAGGTTTTGCCCAGGGAATAATTAACGAAATGAGTGAACAAATGTCTGGTGGAGGAAGAAATTTCAACACAGTCACGCATAGGGTCTTACCTGCATACAATGTACAACACCAACCACAACACACTTCGCACGTAGACAAAGCAGTCCCGTATTTCCAGCATTCACACAAGGCTGGCTTCGTCTTGCCGTAAAACAAGGAACTTTTGCCCACGCTTTTTTTGGGGGGGACTTTGGCAAGTTGTGATTACACACATTGTACACGCACAATGTCACAAACACACAAGGGCACGCTCCTGCACGTGAAATCAACTTTTAGTCTCCATTCTCTTCTTCAGTTCCTCTTTTCTTATCTTTTCTTCTCTGCTCTTTGGTCCCCCTCTCCGCCTCTCGTTTCCACGTATGTAGTTAAATGCTGCCATCTCCTCTGCTCTAATCAAACCCACATGGTTGCGTGGGTCAGCATGCCAGCAGCCCACAGTGCGGCACATACTTTTGGCTGTGAATGTGTGTCACTGTGGCTGTTTGTTGTGCAACTGTTGTGCAAGTCACAACAGTGAGCAGTGGGTTCCAAACTTTTGGCTTCTGACCTGTTAAAATTAAACATCATCTTGCGAACTCTGTGTCTCACACTGTTTATGCCTGTGAGTTTTTTGCATGTCAGACTGTAATTCTTGGAGGCCGGAGGAGGTCGAACTGTCCAGTATATCACAAGAAAAGAGCAACTACTACAGAAAAGGAGACCACTTTGTGTCATAGAACAGTTTTTTTCTCTTTCCTGTCCAGTTAAGCTTCTCTCAACCCTTCAGATTTATCTAACGACCCCTTGGGGAGGTCCCCCCCATTGACACAGAAGTAAATCATAAGAGAAATATACTGTAATTTGTGGCACTTTTGTCTGCATGCATGT